TGTTAAGCAGAAAAAGTAGCACTACAGATTAAGTTTGCGTTTAATCTTAATATTTTCTGCTACTCAGGCACATACTGTGCTGTTAAAATGTTGACAAACACACATTACACACACATTTCTGCAGACAGTTACAGTTAGCGCTTAACAGTATTGTCAAACTATAAGCAGACATTAGTTAATAATGAGTATTAAAGCATACAAAATATGTTTTTTGTGCAACAATATTTCCAGAATATAAGAATAACATAAAAAGGTAATTGCTGGGCACAAAAGATGATGTTTGACCATAATTGGTATCCACTGTATTTGTGATGTCAGAAATCCTGTTTGTTGATCACTTAAAAGCAGATTTTTTTTTAAAAAAAAAATAATTTTTTTTAGTGAAGACAGAACATGTACACTTTAATTGGTGATGTCGAAAATTGCACCAAGTGTCAGACTCTGCATTTAAAAATCTAATCAAATTTAAAAACACTAGTAGAGATGGTAAAATTCAGATCTAGTGCTGGTGGCGTTTTGATTGCTGTGGAACATGCGTTAGAGTGAATAATTTATTTATTTTTCTTAATAGTACACAACAGTGCATTAATGAAAGAAACAAAGTAAATGTACCTGGAAGGTTAGAGATGAGAAATTTTCAGTTGCGATAACTGTTTTTGTTGTTACCCTCATTTTTGTGTCTGGACATAGACTTTATATAAAAATGGTCACTGTCACCCATTTGGTTTGTGGACTCTACATTTTGAAGCTTCAGCGTGAGCATCTTGGCTCCTGCCTTGTTAGTTTTTCTTTTGGACCTAGAAGTGACCATATTTACATGAAACAAAAAAAAGGAAATAACAAAATTAATAAAGAGATTTTTATGACGATAGAGACAATCAACAGAGAGCCAAAACCATTAATCGTACCAGACTGTTAGCGTAAATTTTAGTGATGTAAAGTTGGACATTTTCAAATTGGAGTCGTTTTTTGGAGCCAGCCTCTGGTGGCTTTTAAAGGAACTGCAGATTTTGGTGTTGGCTTTATCTTTCAGAACAAGAGGAACTTGGACAACAAAAACAACAACAAACACAAGTTGGAAATACTAGGACTGGGATGGTGACCCTATCAATGAAACAACAAAAAATAGCCTTAAAGTCTAAATACTAATTAACATTTCCATGTATGTAATATAGTAACTTTAAAAAATTGGCATAAAACCAAGCAAATATCACTTGATGCTGGTTCTGCAGAACAAAAGAGGAAATATTTGTTGCCACTACTAGGCATCTATCACACAGCAAAGCAATATGGAGAAGACTGCAAGAAATAAAAGACAAGAAGATGATGAGATGTTACATTACCAACTGCTGGCTGGCTATTAAATCACTTCAGATTTTCTGCATACAGAAAAACTCATGGAAGGTATGTCAGGGTTTTTCCTGACTCAAAATAGGCCTTTGGCGGATTGACTAAGCACGTAGGGGCGATTGGCCCAAAGATTGTCTGTATTAGCTCACTTAGGGCAAATTCATCCCCAGTTGTTTAACTTGTTTAAAATCACAGTCCTGGTAATTTTCCTTTGGGGGACGGCCAAAACGTCTTTGGTGGGCAACACATTTATCCAATATATAGGAAAAACCTTGTGTGCAGGACTTCTGCAGTGGGTATTTATCCCCAGGTAGCCCCCAAAACTGAATGCTTGCTGTGGCTGTCCTTGTGTATGGCAGTGGGGACCAAAAATTTATTTCAGCTTGTGGCTGGGCTTCAGGCACAGGTCTGTGAGCAGGTTGGTCTCCACTGGCATTTTTACATCCTACATCAAAGAGAGCGAGTGCTGGGATTCCCAGATGGCACAGGGGGAAATTGCTGCAGCAGTTGGAAAACATGGGTTCTGCATAAAACTGTGGAAAAATCTTCACTACTGATATTTTTTTGTCCTGTTTCTGCTTGTTCGATTCCTCTCCCATCATTGAATCTGTGATTTCTATAACTTTTTCTGAGCAGCCAGGAAAAGACTGCAGCGAATGAAGTGTAAATGTTCATCGCACTATGCTGATATCACAGTCCTCAACCAGTGATCGATGTGTCCACTGACTGGTCGAATCATGAGGTGTACTTAGTTTTTCTGGCAGAGAGTCGACTGTATGTCCCATAAGAAAAGTAAGTCCTAGGTAGTGATCGTTAGCACTATAAAAAGATCTTGAAATCGATATCCTGCAATCTATTACATTGGTTATCTAATATAACAATCTGATATTGGTTGTGTGGTTTCCTTAGTCTCTGCATACTTGGAATGCTCCAATAACTCTTGGTTTTTATGTCTGTTAATAAAATGCGTGTAACTACATGAACTACACAAGTACAGTCCTATTTAACCAGTTTAATCGCCTTCGATTGCCTCTGCTCCATTTCTGAATCATTTTCAGTTTGACAGATCGCTAAGCAACAGCAAATAACACAGAGAAAAAAATTGTAATAACTTAATTGAGACACTTGACTTTTTTGACATACATGTTGAATAGCTTTTCCCACCAGGTGTGTCGTTTTAAGTGGCTGGCTACTGAATCGTAGCACACCCAGGTGGTGTTGCACGCTCAGAATCACAGAGGCTTAATGCAGAAGTAATTTTGTCCACCCCCACCTCGTCTGTCATCCTAGCCTTTCAGCCTGGGGGTGTATTCTTCATTGCGCACATGCTCACACATTCACTCACATGACATGGAAACTCCGCTCAGACTAAAGGCTTTGTCCACCTACTCACCTGTTCCCACCCATCTTCACCTGTTTAGATGCTTAAGACCAAAATAGAATTGAAAGTAATTGTATTACCATCAAGTAATGGATCTTCAGTCTGGAGTGGCTGTTCGTACTTGTAGGATAGTCCCTGTGGGCGATTCAGTGAGGGTTTGACTGGGTTTGGAAGTGTCAATCTATCATAATGCCCACTCACTTAGGATACACTTGTAACAGCTAGTTGCGTGGTTAATTAAGTCCCTGGCCTCTATAACAACACTGGGTCCTGCCCAAGCTTGATCAGCTGTGTTTCCTATCCACCCTGCCTTCACAGAAACAGGTGAGACATTTTTGAACGGTGTCTCCTCTAAGGCATTCATGGTTTTGTTTGTCAGCCCTACCAGTGGAAAGTCTAGGGGATAAGTAGAGTTTTTATTTATCTTGAGGGAAAGATGAATACCTGTTGGGATTTCATGCTTATCCATTTTAAAGTTAATTCATTTAGAAGGCGAAAGCTGCACAAACAACAAGAGCTGGTACAGTTGAGGATTATATGGAAAAGTGAGACATTTCCAGTGAAGTGCAAAATGAAACTCCCACGGGTCTTGATCATGTGCCCTTTCCGCACCTGCAAAATCTTTCAGCAGAACTTCCAATGAAACTTTCACAGCGGAAACGGGATGTTACTACACGATCTTGGGCATCTTACGGTGATTCTTTCGCAATGAATGATGAAGTTCACTAGACCAGTGGTCCCCAACCCCTGGGCCAACCCGTGAGTCGTTTGGTACTGGGCCGCGAGAGTGTGAAATTCATAGTTTTCAGGGTTTTATCAGTTTTTAGCGTTATTTTGTTAATCGTTTTTATTGTTAACTCGATTTCCATGGGTTTTTTTCCCCGTGTGTTATGAATAAATTGTATTTTTTTGGTACCGGTACTGGTTTTATTTTGTTGTATTTATCCGCGACACCTTATAGGCCGGTGAGTGAAATTATTGTCGGACATAAACCGGTCTGTGGTGCAAAAAAGGTTGGGGACTGCTGCACTAGACCACTGAAGAACACAAAGGTTTATTTGAAGATCAGTGAGGAGAAGAAAACTCTCGTAAGATCTGAAGGACTCACCAAAACCATCTAACAATGAACCGTCCAGGAACAGTGGCACAGGTGAAAACAAAGAAAACAATTCTCTAACAACACTAAAGACTGGACAGGAGGGACCTTAACAGAAATTCACCTAACACCCAAAACCTGGAGTAAACTGGTGTCCTCTTTGTAAAATCTGGATATTTAATATCAAAGGGATTCATTGGTGTGGAATCAAGAATATTTGTACCATATTTCAATGCATGTATATAGATGATATTTAGGATGAAGCAGACAATTATAGTGCCAATAGCAAGTTATGGGATCAAATATGTTGCCAGTTTGACACGATGGATATTCAGTACCAAATTTCATGGCAGTCACCAATAATTGCTGCGATATTTTTTAAAAAAAAAACCTTGATAACCTCTTGGTACTGCCAGAGAAAACCTCAGAAGATGACCAAACACTTCATTATACAGTGGCCATGAATGCTTACCCAAACATTATTTGAAATACATCCAGGGTGGACATTATATTGCACGTTCACCAAATATGGTGAAATTTGAAAACCACAAAAGAGCATTGGTTACACTAAACTATATATGATGCCTGTGACTCATGCCGAATAGGTGTCTAAAATCTTGTGCCTTTTGGTCAATGTTCATTAAGAACAAGTTAGTGTTTTGTCCAACAAATGACCCAGTGGTGTGGTTTAAGAAACGTAAATGATTGAAGCTAAAAGTCTGTATAAAGTCAAAGAGGCTCAAGTGGTCCTCTGCAAGGACTTGGTCATTAATACAAACTCTTAAAGAGTTGAGAAAGTAAGAGAAACACAATGACAGCAGTGGCTGAGCTGAACAAACAACGGGTGCCCGTTTTCATGGAGATTACATGTATGTGCTTTGAAAACATTACCACAGTTCCCTGCTTGCCTGCAGCTGTACCTTTGACAACCATTACAAAAGTAATGGTAGACCTCAGCTGCATATTTCTTTATATTTTTCCCCCTAGTTGCACCGCTACAACGATTCAGGGGCTAATACTTGTGTCATAAATACAGTTAGTTGCAGAACGGAGCCAATCACGCGGAGTCTGAAACCCTGCAGTCTTTTGTTGGTAATGTGAGTCTGTTGTTTATTTCTCAGCATATTAACCCCCATTCTTCTTCTTCTCTGCATGTTTTTTTTTCTTTCTCAGCTTTTGGAGTATGTTGGCAAAGGAAAGAGTATTATGGATGTGGGTTTGGCCCAGGCCCGACAGCCACTCACCACCCGCTGTCATTACTATGAAGTGGAGATAGTCGATGCTGGGGAGAAATGCTACATTGCCCTGGGCTTGGCAAGAAGGGTGAGCTTTCTAAGAAAAGAACAGCTTTTGACATTTTTACACCTACATTCACTTTTTTTTCTTTTTTCTTTGGGGGAGGGGGTGTTCAGCATTTAGCCACCATGCCTATTTTTCCACATTGTAATATATTAAAAAGCATAGCTTAATGGTTTCAGAGCATGTGGACTGCATGAACACGTCTCCCACTGACTTATTCTTGGATTCTACGCGCCCTTTCCGTTCCCCATAGTTCGACAAGTGGTCGAGGTAAAAACATGCTAATGATGGAAAACTTTGACAAAAGCCTGAATTGGGAACTAGGCAGATAATTACCATGTACAAAATGTTCCTCAGGCCCTGTCTTGGGAATGTTGTAATGTTGGCCTGATGGAAGAGCAGCGGCACTCTTGTCCTTTTATAAGTTCTTTCACATACATGCAGATCCCAGTGAATTGAGAAAATAGGATGAGTTGCTAAGCTGGTAAAACTGTTTTTAGATTTTGGAGCATAGTTCAGTAGTAAATGTATTGGTACTGTGCCTTTATAATTGATTTTTATTCCCATTATCCAGGAGTTTACCCATTCTTTAATGGCCTACTTTGGGGAGATGAAACACCTTTAAGAGGAAAATACAATTAACGAAATTTTAACACTCTCGTTTGAACCCCTATTTCTTTTTCCAAAGTATGCACATGCGGTTCCAATTTCAGCATTAGCACCGCCACTTCGAGTGCTGGCCGGCTTTAAAGAACGAAACAGGCAGAATATAGTGAAACTGATAGACAAGAGATGCTGAAATTGAATAAATCTACGATCAATATGTCAAGACCTTTCAATACACACCTGCAGAGATTTAAAATAAAAGGAGTAATAGGTTCAAGAGAGCTGTTTTAACCCTCCTCATGAAAGACAAGATTAAACTCCGATGACTCAGGAACTATTTCTTCATCTATGTGGGTTAATGATTTGTGAGTTTTTTCCCCACCCTTTAAGTGTAGCCTTGAGTGTTATGGATGTGAAATATTAGTAAGTGCCAAAGCCAAGGCCTACAGAGAGCTGCCAGCACTGTCTCTCCCAGGGTCAAAACTCGGCTCCTTTTAATAACAAAAACAAAAGATGAAACTTCTATAACATCTTTCAAGGTTTCACAGGGAATTTATATAGAAGAGAAACGAGGGGATGCATAGGTCACCTTACTGGATGACGGGAAGATATAGAGCTATACAGATGTATAGGAGAAGGTGAGTGGAAAAAATAGACTTGGACAGCATATGCGTGCTCCACTTACACGTTTCCTTCGTAGCTATGGAATTCTTTAAAATTGGCAAATTAATAAAATTGTTTAAATGGACTACGTTGTGATATTAGCAGAGTTTCTGCACATGTACTGCAAGCCTATCAGCCTGTCTGGTGAAAGCATTGGGGAATTTTATAAGTTAAAGATATTTTTTAGACACAAGCTGCAACTATTTGTTTAGTTGGCCTGTCTTATGGCCTACTGTTACTGTTAAGCTGTTGTTTACTCACAAAAGAAAGGCATAGGACAACTCGCAAGAAGTTAAAAAGTTGACTTCATGACTCAGTTGTTTATCCAGTGCCTTTCCCTAATGATATTTCAACCAAAGGCATCAGGTATGCAGTGTAAGACAATGGGTAAAATGCCTTAAATCTACATTCTTTGTAATCTCCAGCAGGGGGAAGATCATAAAAATGATATGGGAAAATGATGCTACTTTTCTCCATGACCTCTTTAAACACTTTTCTGATGGGTTTATAGTTACTGAACATGATGCTCATTTTGTAAATTATGATCTCCAGTAGAGTGTAAAAGAGGGATAAAGCAGGGTATGTGTTAGGTCGGGCCTGCCTTGTGACTGGAAAGGTAAGAGCGTGGAGTATCACAGTTTATTGCTTTCATTCATTCGTTTCGCAATCAGTGCAATACGTAGTTCTGTAACAGTTTCTACAATACTCAGTGAAAGTAACTAATGTTTTGATCCAAGGAGTAACAAAATAAGTAATTATAATTTTCATTTTAGTAGCATTTCAGAATCCACAAATGATGATAAGAACTCTTTTTTTGTTTCAGCCAACACTGATTTTGCAACAAATACACATGTCAAAAATGTTAGTTGACATTATTGTTATATTTTCAGAATTATTTTATATGCAGAAAAAGATAAAACCAGACAAATGTTGGGTTTCACACATGTAAGTAAACACATACAGACAATGCTGGGTGAGGAAGCGGTTGAGCAGCGATTACTTAAGTCAGTTTGCTTGCTTTCAGGTTCCCTCACCTCTTTTAAAATGGCTGCATTACTTTTGTTTGTTGGGTTTAATCAGGGTTTTTGGTATAAAAGCTTTAAGCCTAAGTTCAGGAGCGATGCCAGAGCAGCTTTTCCCTTTTTAATACATGTTACGGTATCAACAGCAGCCCCAAGAATCCTGTATTATCCATTATTATGACTTTTACTTGAGCATCACTATCTGAGCAGATTTTGAGAATACCCCTGAAGCTAATAACATTCCTATTAGCCTGCGTTGCACTCTGTGTTAAATGCAAATTAGTGAAAGTTAGCATGCAAATGTGCTAAACAAGCACACGTTGGCTCAAAAATGAAGCCAGCATGGAAGTGCCAAAAACTGCAGTTCCTCCAGTGGCCACTGAAGGATGGCTCCAAAAGTGAACCAGTCTCCGTAGACTCATATGTTAACATTGCCAAAATTTAACAGAAGATAAAAACATGTTTATAGCCTGGCATTTCTCGCTTTTTTAAACCTTATTAAGCGTTAAGTTTAGGGAATTTTTTTAAGCTTTAAAAAAACACTTAACAAATCAAAAGAAAAGACGAAAAAGGAGGCGGGGTGGAGTAAATTTTTCAATCCCCTAAGCCACTATTGCCAGTTTCCTGCAAAAGGGAAAGTCTGAAGAATTTGGGCTATGTGATAAGTCTGAGTTCTTTGTGTGTAAAGTAAATGCTGTTGTTTAGCGTGTTTCATAATCTAAGATCTGTTTTGACCCCGCTGCCATTCCTAGACCTGTCATGACCCCCTTGCTTTCTCTCTCATTCCTCTGAAGACGGAAGATAAGGGTCTTTATGAATGTACAGCATGCATACGCTTGGTAGCACAGTTGTTTTTCATCCGGTACACACAGCGGTTGCTAGGCTGTGGGACAAAGAGATCTAGGATTAATTATGGGGTGGAAGAGTGTAGAGAGTAGATGGCAAGGTGGGGAAGCTAGGTAAAACGTCAAGAGCTAGAAAAATCAAGGGAAAGGGAAAAACACAGGTGAAAAAAAAATGAAGCAGGAAAGCCCTCATGTTTTGAAAAACAAACAACCGCCATCTGCTTAAAATCCTACAAAAAATGACGGTAACCCTGTGGGAGTATAGATGCAGCTGGGAGAGAAAAATGGATATGACAGAGGAGTGAATGGAAAGTATTTGATTGAGTAGCCATCAGTGTTTAAAAAAGACAGATGGTTTTCTCAGTTCACCCTTGACCCTCTTGTATTGAGTCTCTGGTAATGTACAGCAGCCCAGTCATAAAGCTACACACACACAGCAAAGCCTACACGCTCGTACACACAAACAAGAAATAAAACGGTTTCCTCTGTCCTGGTGTGCCCCGGGAACAGGTCCTGGGAACAGCGCTCTTCCTTTTCCTCTTGTGATGCAGCAGTCCTTCTAACGGGTTTTTTGGTCTGCTCCAAGAATCTCTTTCTAGCAGTGTCAACTTAGGATAAAACAAAGGATCAGTTACTGTGCCAAGGCCTCTGATCACAACCAGTACAACAACAGTGTCAGGGATGCTACTTAGTATAAATTAAAGAATTAAATTAAAGAATCATTCGTTTATAATGCAACAATGCTAAAACAATCACTATTTCCACTTTCTAAAACTTGACTATTTTATGCTTTCATAAATCTACTACTTATCTGGGTCTAAGCTGTGGCCACCCAGCTTTTCCGATGGGACAACAAGGCATTGCTAAGCCAGCCAAGCTCCGTCATCTCACAGCATCTTCTGGGTTTGTTGCGGGGTCTCCTCCAAGTTCAGCATGCCCAAAACACCTCAACAAAGAGTTGCACTGGATGCATCCTCGGCAGCTTGACTCTGAGTCCCTCCTCAATGAACAGGTTCCTCACCCTATCTCTAAGGCTGAGCCTAGACAGCCTTGGGAGGAATCTCATTTCTACTACTTTTATCCAAGATCTCATTCTTTCGGTCACTACCCGCAGTGTTTGGCTTTAGCTGAGGGTTGAAGTGTAAATTGAAAGCTTCACTTTCACTCTCAGCTCTCTCTTTACAACAGCAGATCAGTACAGCGTCCACGTCAACACAGATGACAATCCATCTTCAGCCTCCTGCTCTACTTTCCCCTTTCTCGTAAACAAGTCTCAGACATACTGGGCAGCAGCTCCTTCATGAATGTGGATTAAACTGTGTATCTTTTGGGTTTTGGACGGTGCCTAGATGGAAAAAGATGTAAATGATGTCTGAAGATGTTAACTTGAACTATGAAAAGGTATTATTTAAAATGGATAGATTTAAAGATGAAGAACATCATATTCTTTCAGTCTGTCCTTTTCTTTTGTACATTGGCATGTGGAATAGTTTCTTGGCCACTGGACAGAAGCAGGAAGCTCTTAGGCTGGGAGTCAGCTGATTGATGAGCAGTGTAAGTTGGATAACTAAAGCAGAAAGAGAAGTGGAAGACGTCAGAGCAGAACTGAACATGAAGACAAGCATAAATACAAGTTGAGAAGCAGGTTGTAAACCCAACAAATGGTACACATAAAACCCAAACTGGAACTTGTTTATGAAAACTGCTGGATGAAAGCTTTTTTAAAAAAAATCTTCTTATAACAGCACAGTGATTGCAAGCTGTACCAACATGAGCAGTTTGACTTTGAACGCATGAAACTGCATTAGGTAGTACAGAAGTGATGGCTCCTGAAAGTGGGCCTATGTAGATACTCCACTAAAAATCACTAACTAACTTATGAACATTT